TAAAAATCGGCTCTTTCTTTGTCACTTTTTAATAATTTTTTCTAATCGTTCGTTAATGTTAAAAGTGTTATAAAAAAAATTACCCATTCTCTCTACTTTAATTTGATATTCAAGTGCGAAGAAATATAAACGTACTAGTGTCGAGAAACAAACTGGTGTATGAGCGTTTGTTTTTAATAAACTTAGACGACGCGACACTTCTATAGGGGCTTCTATTAGAGTAGTTACGATATTCTAACTCTTTTTCAATACTAACCACAGGGATTTGCCCTTTTGGGATTGCCCACGCGTGCGTTGGCTAGAGGAAAGGACTGATGTCTGCGAGACATCTGATTTCACAGAGTTCACAGAATTTAGAGAATTCGATGATTTCTCAGAGGCATTCGATCGAGATCGGGAACGATTTCGGGAAAGGAAAGGGAAGGGCATACAAGAGGCGAAATATAGATGAGCAGAATCTTTTACACTATTCTTATAGGTCACTGCAGTTTGAAATATAATTTAAAGCCTAGCGAGCAAGTTTTCAATGACATAATTCTATATAGGGGCTTCTATTAGAGTAGTTACGATATTCTAACTCTTTTTTAATACTAACCACAGGGATTGCCCTTTTGGTGGGCGTGCGTTGGCTAGAGGAAAGGACTGATGTCTGAAGGGAGGGGTATACAAGAGGGGAATCCGGTGATGATGGCAGATGAGCAGAATCTTTTACAGTATTTCAAGCGCGGAGAAATATAAACGTACTAGTGTCGAGAAACAAACTGGTGTATGAGCGTTTGTTTTTAATAAACTTAGACGACACGACACTTCTATAGGGGCTTCTATAAGAGTTTTTACGGTGTTTAGATAACGGTATCGGGATTGGAGCGATTTAGAGTGGCCATATTTATAGCCTTAGCCATATTTGTGGCCATATTTGTAGCCTTAGCCATATTTGTAAGTGCATAACCGGATCGTATCGGAACTTTTCCCATTTGCAAATCACTTTTTACCAAACCTCTTCTCATATTAAAGTCCATTTGTCGATTTTGTTGATGATCATCACTTATTTGCTTTTTTCCAATCATTTCCCTTGTGTTCCATTAATCAAAAGTGCTCTGAGAGTGGGAAAATATCTTTATATCTTTCCTTTCTTGGGCTCTTTCAGAAAAAAACTGACTGTTTTTCTGTTTTTCAGTGTCCGCAAGGTTTTCCAAGGGGAAAAGAGAATCGGTCGTTGATCCGATTCACAAACATTCTCATATCAAAATCTCTGCATCCAGAACAATTGAGAACAACTGATTATCGATGTCTATTTGGCGTAATTTCGAATTTTTCTTTTTCAACTGTTGCCCATTTTCTTATTTTCGTTGGTGTAACTAAAATGAAAAGAAATTTTTTTCATTATTTTCCTCAGATCATCTTCTATACGATTTTATCAACGATACGATTGGGGAATACTGGAAAAGATTCATCAATTAGAATCTTTTCGTCAACATCTTTATTCCCTTTAGCTTACTTTGTTTCCTTTAGCACGTCTGGTGCAGTTTCTCACAAACTCTTTACTTCTTCTTAAATTCAAAGAAAACAACGCTTTTTCTTTAGAATTCTTTGTACATTTTGGTTGGAGGATTTTGATGGGTTTTAGCTTCAATTAGATTTAGCTTTTAGCTTCAAATTAGCTCAAAACCTTTACTTTTTACTTAATTCTCTCTCGTTAGCTGAATGATTTTACTTTTGATAACTATTAGTTTATCTTTCCTTTTCACTCAAGTATGATTAGTGTTGATTGTTAAAGCTCTGAAATTTCCCTGTAAATATGCACTTTTTTCTTGTCTACCCTTGCCTAGACTCGAAATGAATGAAGCCTTTGCATGTTTGTTGTTTAGATTTGGTGTTGTCGAGAAGGGGTGAAGTGGTTGGAGAGAATGGAGAAACCAATCTCAATCTCACCCATCGAAAAAGACCCCAAGTGGTTGCCAATCGCTTCTCTTCGATTCCCTTTCTTGTTCTCTTCATCTTCATCTTTATGGATGCCATTTCATCGCTTCTCTTCGATTCTCTTTCTTGTTCTTTCCATCGTTTCTCATCCGCCGACCACTCTGCTAAACCGCTTCACACACTTATGCCCATAATCCTTATATAGGGGTGGTAAAAATGAGCCTAAACTCGAGAATTGCTACCAGATTGCTCTCTTTTTCTCTAATTGAAAGCCTTTGCCTTGTTTTAAACTAGCTTTCAATGCTTTCTTTGCTTTCAATTTCTATTTTTGTTTTAAATCCTACAAAAATCTCCCAAATCACCATTTTTCATTCAATTTTCTTCCATTTCGATGTAATTTATTTCTAAAAAAACCTAATCTAACTATCGGAAAACTAGCTTTTTCCATTGAAAATCAATCAATTAACTTTTTTTGAGAAAGAGAAAAACTTCGCCTAAAAGATCGCGATTTCTCACTTCTCTGAAACGGCAAAGAAGTGATTTTCCAGTTTTCAATGGAATAAATTATGCCCATTTCAAGTGGTGGATAGAAATGCGATTGGGGAATACTCGAAAAGATTCATCAATTAGAAACTTTTCGTCAGCATCTTTATTCCCTTTAGCTTACTTTGTGAAAATGTGACCCGTCTGGTGCAGTTCTCTCACAAAATCCACCACCAGAAAATGTGCTTGCAATCAGCTTGAAGTCTTTCATATGCCATAAATTCATATGCCATAAATTTGAATCCTTTATTTTGTGTTCTATTCAAAATCAAGTTCTCAATCTTACAATAACCCGTATTGACACAAATAAAAGGAGTTTTTTCTTTCAGAAATCCTTTATCTTCTTTGACAATCGCTTCACACGCATTAGTCAAACGGTTTTTTTTTTGTTTTAGAGGACAAAAAAAGGGTAATTGTCGATATTTTCTCTACAAAAGCGACCAATTCTGTGTGCCAAGGAATATAAAGGAACTATAAAGGAACTTTAAAGGAACCAAATAGGAACTATAAAGGAACTATAAAGGAACCAAATAGAAACTATAAAGGAACTATAAAGGAACTTTAAAGGAACCAAATAGGAACTTTAAAGGAACTTTAAAGGAATCAAATAGGAACTATAAAGGAACCATAAATCTATAATATCCTAAGACTTGGCACACACTTCCCGTAAAAGAAAAGCTTTCCAATCGATCTGCAAATCTTTTGTCAAGTAAAACTTAACTATTGTTCGCAGAAATCGATAGAAAACCGGATTATTGCCTAATTGATATGCAAATTTACGTATTGAATGTAAATTTGATGGGGAAAATATCGACAAATACCCAAAAGAAAGTCACTAAAAAAATCACTGACTTTAAGCTATAAGCTTAAAGCTATTTAATCTTTTAAACGATCAGTGTTTCTTTAATATTTTTCTTTCTTTTCCCTCATTCATTCACTGTGTAGAGGAATCCGGGAAAAGTGAAAGACTTCGAGCAAAATCAAAATAAACGAATAAACGACTCTTTCGCAGAAAAATGCAAAACATTGCTTTGAAGGGGAAAAGAGAGAAGTTGTCCATCGTTTTTTTTGTCATTCATTTCTTCTTTCTTCTCTTCTTTGATCATTCACAATGAAAATTCCTTTTTTTCTGCACATCGATGTCTTACGATAATAACGAATGTTTGTAGAGATTTGAAATTCCATCAAAAAAAAAGAAAATGTTTCCACAATATGAGATCGAAATTTACCCAACCGAAACACTCGCTTAAAGGATTATTTTTCGCTTCCATTGAGAAAATCACAAACTGTTTGATAACAAAGTAAAAATTGAATCAAAATTGTATTGCTTGTATTCAATGTATTGCTTTTTTTGTTTTTTGAATGATCTGAATGCTTTTTTCTGATTTCTGTACGATCTAATGATCTTTTTTCTGACTTCTGAATGATCTAATCGTCTTTTTTCTGATTTCTGAATGATCTAATGATCTTTTTTCTGACTTCTGAATGATCTAATCGTCTTTTTACTGATTTCTGTACGATCTAATGATCTTTTTTCTGATTTCTGAATGAATATTTCCATCAATCTCCCCAAATAGACCCCTTTTTGTTCAACGATTTGCATAAATCGCGCTCGCTTTTTTCTGGGACGGTAAAATCGATTTTTTTTTTCTTTACTCTTTACACCATTCTTTTCTTACTGTTAGAGTTAAACTCTTGTTTATAGAGAAAGGTTTTTACGACTAACTTGTGAACTTTCTGTTGAAAATATGTTAATTTCGGCTTCACAGCCTCTACACAAAGTTTGCACACCGGTTCGACCAAAAAAAAAATGATTTAGACTGACTACCGTCCCTACCTACTCCTCCTTTTCCTCCTTACTCTCAACCTTGACTATCAGTTTATTTATGAGCTTACACCCATTTTTCCCCTCTCTAACTAGATAGAAAGTAATCTAAAAACTCTTTTAACCCAATCTTGCTAGAGAATCGACGAAAAGAGGCAACTTATCACATCTGGAAATTAGCCATTTTTACGATCACGACACTTTTTTAATACTCAAATCTAGATTTAAAACAAGTCTTTTCTTTTTTTTTCAGCTTTTTCTCTATTTTTCTTATGTTTTAAACCCATATTTCTTTTCTAAAGATTCCTACATTTTGATTAATAGTAAAAACAAAAGTAACTACCGTAAATACTGTAATTGTACCCCACCCCCATAATGACAGTGCGGGGTATTGCTTAGTCTAGCTTTGAACGAGCTCTTCTCGACACTGGTTTATGCTATAATACGCGTTTAGGTATCAAATAATAGCCCCGAATTTCAGCTATTTTTCGATACCAAAGACGCATTTTTTGAAAGTACGGGTGCTTTGAAAAAATGAAATACTAAAAAACTTTTGCGACTACGCGACTGTACGAGGGAGGTGGGGTACTATTACAGTATTTACGGTATGTTTCTTTAACCAAGTACCTACGTAAGTTAGGTACTTGGGTAAAGTAACCAAGTAGGTAAAGTAACCAAGTACTTCAAAAGTTCTGCAACTCTTTTTTTTCAGATGTACACATCAACTTCTCATGAGAAATTGAGCATTCGAGTTGAACGGGGCACTCGACCGAGTGTGAAATGCAGTGATGACAAGAGGAAAGTGCAGGTTCGTTAGATTAAGAAGATAAAACTATCAGATTACTGTATTTATGAGTGAAACCAGGTGACGGTAGCATGAAAAAAGATATCAAGTAGAAGAATGTTCTTACTGTTAGCCTCCTTAGCAATCAGTCTAGCAAATCCAAATTTTCATTAGGTAGCCAACACTTTTTTTTACCTTGATTTTACCTTGATGACACCCCGATGGGTGACAAATCCATCGCGCACACACAAAAAAAAACCCCGAAAGACCTTGGACGACTTTTTGTGTTCACAAAATAAAGAAAACGGGGGTCAAACGACACAAAAATCTCATTAATCACCAAGAATCGGCTTTAGAAATCGTTTTTCCCTACCACTAAATGATTTCCATCTGTTTATGAAATAAAAAAAAGTGGTTAGGAGAAAAAGTTAGCAAAATTAAAGCGGTTTAGTAGAGTGGTAATCGTCGTAGAACTTATCAACTGATCAAAATAGATCATAGAACAATCAATCAATCGAAATAGATCAATCAATTTGAAATTCAGAGAACTTTGAGGCAATACCTAAACTTTTAACCCGATTTTAGACACACAAAAAAGGATTATCTTGCTTTCTAAATTCAATTTCAATTTCAATTAACGGGCCTATGACATTTCCCCGGCTTAGAAGAGAGTATTTTAAGAGAAAAAAATGCAAAGTTAGAGCCAACAATGAACATAGAATGCGGTACTTACCGATTACACGCCCGGAGAGATAACAAATTACCGATTACACATGCGAAGAAATAACAAAAAAAGCATACTAGTGCACCCCGAGCGTCGCCTAAATTACTCAAAATCTCGAAAAGCGTTTATCAGAACCTATCGATGTGGGGTCGGAAAATGTAGCTGACGATGAGATCTTGTGGGGGGATTAGAGTGTCGAGCTTAGAGCTTAGAGTATGCTAAGGTTTCTAAGTTTTCGCAGAGCGCTTCTGCGAAAACTTAGAAACCGTAAAATAGTCATCAACTCGGCTCGCCGGGGTGCACTACTATTAGAGAGAATACGGTATTTAGATAGAGCATATGAACAAAAAATTTGCGGTTCTAGATTTGCGCTTCATTTAATTTTCGGTTCATTTACTCAAAAACGAAAAAAATGAAACCGGTATGATGCAATTAAATGCTAATTTGTTACTTTTCCGGTAAGTAATCGGTAAGTACCTATAATGCAACATTGCAGATCACCGTCCCACAAGATGCCACCCAGAATTGGCCGCCCATTCGCGCGGATCTCTTTGCTGATTATTTTGTGGTCATTCAACGACTACAACAACAATTTAAGATCTATGTCCAGAATACAGTACTCAGATTTTCCATTTTTTTTATCTATGAAAAAATTCTAGCAAGAAAGAAAACCCGAATTTGTCATCTATTCCTCAACAGTGGCACATGAGAAAGAAGTGAAGACACAGATCAAAGAATTGCACACAAGATTAAATGAGGTATTTGAAAATTTAATTACTTTTCTTTTATCAGAAAGAGTGCTCCATTAGACATGAGGAAATTCCAAGCGGAACCAACCAACCACCCCTTTCCACCTCTCTCACTCAGTGGCGTAACCAGGAAAAAATTTCGACGAGGGCTGAAAGTTTTTCGAGAAAGGCAGTAATGTGTTACGGTTTTAAACATTTAAATTCTGATCTCACCCAAACTGTTGAATCTTTTAGCTCAGAAACACTAATTCTAAATGATTTGCCAAAATGAGAGGTATAACACGACGATTCTCTTGAGCCATCTCTTGGCGATTCTCGGGAATCTTGTCTACAAGCATACCAATTTCTACTTGTAAACAAAATCTCAGAACAATCAAGAAACGGCTGAGAAAACAAAGGTGGAATTAGGTTCCGGTTGGAATTTTCTCAAGTCTCATCTTTGTGTCTATTTCCAGGCCATATCTCGCCAAGAATAGCTCGAATCCAGCTGAAAGTTTGACACCTAACAGTCAACTTTCTATTATCTTTAACGCGACCTCTTTGTTTTTTTGATCTATTCAGTTGTTTTTCTTAAAAATGTAAATTATAACGCTTTTGGGGTAGTTTTTCTTTAGGTCTCTATATCTCAGTACAGAGATGAGGTCAAGAAATGTTTTTTTTTAGCTTAAAAGAAAGCCCAGAGTATTTAGATTGAAAATCTAATGTAAAAGTAGGTTATCTCTCCGTAATATCACTCGAAAATTTGCCTGTAGAAGCATTGGTGAGAAGGTGGGAGGGGGAATTTCATTTTCGCGATCGAGCGGCTAGTTTTAATAACCCACTTGTATCAAATATAAAGTTCGAACTAGGGCACACCAAAAAATTTGTGCCCAGCCGGGACTCGAATCTGCGAACTTTCGCTTACCGGCCAACTGTGCTAACTATTACACCAAAACGCACTTGATCTTACCAAAACGCTTACCGGCCAACGCTTACTCCAGAGGGAGTTAACTATAAGATTAAAATTGTTATCCACTATATCAGGGGGTTAACAGATCTATAAACTATCACTATCAAGGGATTCAGTGCCGTACATTCAGTGGATAACAATTTTAATCTTATAGTTAACTCCCTCTGGAGTAAGTGAGATTTGAAGGTGAGTCATGGTCAAAAGGAAATTTCAATCTCTCATCATTACATCATACAACGTTCGACCCCAACTCTCCAGCGCTTTTGGGTTGTTAGCGGCTAGAAAATCGTTGTTTTGTTGTTGCTTGTTGCTTCTTTAAATTCTTGATTTGTAGGTTTGCATAGCTGCACCGAATCTTGATCTACATGGAGTGCTGAAAGCGCCGAAGCTCTCATTAGAGTCAACCGTTGGCACTATGCATATTTATGCAAGGGTAAGATCACTTGTATACTTCTTCAACTTCTTTGTGAATATAAGATTCACAAGGACTATTGCAATAACTGCACAATTCTATAAATTATCGGCGGCAAAGAGACTCTTTGAAAGTTCCTTTGCACCTTGTTTTACTTACAGAACTGACTTTTGCTCATGAACTCATGTTTACTCATGAACTTGCAGAAGTTGCCAAGCTTTATGGAGTCAACTTGCAGAAGTTGCCAAGTCTTATGGAGTCAAACGTGCCGAGAAACTTAAGCATTATAGTTTGAGGGTTTTTGAGAGAAGATTTCTAAAGATCTTCTATCTTTTATGAAATTGCTTTTCAGTTACCGTATTTCTTCGAATAGAAGACCGGGTAAAGAGTATGATCGCGTAAAGAGTATGATCGCGTAAAGAGTATGATCGCGTAAAGAGTATGATTACGTAAATAGTATGATTACGTAAAGAGTATGATTACGTAAAGAGTATGATTACGTAAAGAGTATGATCGCGTAAAGAGTATCATCGCGTAAAGAGTATGATTACGTAAAGAGTATGATTACGTAAAGAGTATGATCGCGTAAAGAGTATGATCGCGTAAAGAGTATGATCGCGTAAAGAGTATGATCGCGTAAAGAGTATGATCGCGTAAAGAGTATGATCGCGTAAAGAGTATGATCGCGTAAAGAGTATCATCGCATACTCCTGCGTAGCAGCCCTTTTTAAAATTTCTTTTCTGCATAAAAGCTTTCAATCAAGTGCTATAGGGCTGGAAAATGACTCAAAAATACGACATGAGCTAACAGATTTTTGAGCCATTTTCCAGCTCTATAGCACTTGATTGAAAGCTTTTATGCAGAAAAGAAATTTTAAAAAGGGCTGCTCCGCAGGAGTACGCGATCATACTCTTTACCCGGTTTTCTATTCGAAGAAATACGGTGGTTTTCTTTCTAGATCGAATCCGAGAAGATTCGTCTACACGCTCAGACACTCGTTCTCGCCCCGGAGGCTCTAATCAGCACAAATAAGTTGAAAATGGTTGCCAGAAAGGTATGCAAAGCTAAAATATCAAAAAAACTATAAATGAAATTTTTCAAAACTAATCTAATAATGTTTAATTTTAGGTGCAAATCGATGGACGAATCTTTCCATCGGAAACCGGTTTACCCGACGAGCCACGAGTGATGAGTGTGATTTGTGATGCACAACTTGTACATATTGGTGTCGATGGGAGGATTGGAGAGGGAAATTCTACAGAGAATTTGAAGGTGAGTCATGGTCAAAAGGAAAGGAGATTTCAATCTCTCATCATTCAGCAATCGCGATCCTCCTCTCAACCCCCACAACTCACCGCCGATGGTCTCCTCTTGCAAATCACTGGCTCGCTAGCCAACTATGGAAAGATTTTAGCGATAGAAAAAGTGAAATAGATTTAAATAATTTAGTTTCGAAAAGAATTTTGCAGGTAGATCTAGTTGTTAGCGGCAGCATTGTTTCTTTGTCTGATGGTTGGCTTGACTCAGCGTCGAGAGGATACGATGCATTGAAACAGATTAAAGGTAAGCCTAGAAAGCTAGTTTTTTGGGTACTATTTATTTTAGGAATCAAGAAAACCGAAGATTGCAAGCCAAGCAGCTCCTCGTTGCACTCGGCGATTAGAGAGCAGAACCCGAGCGCTGTCGCGAAATTGATTGAGAGTGGAGTTGATACAGATGATAAGGTAATCAAAAGGGTAACCAAAGATAACCAAAGATAACCAAAGGTAACCAAAGGTAACCAAAGGTAACCAAAGGTAGCCAAAGGTAACCAAAGGTAACCAAAAATGGTAACCAAAGGTAAGCAAAAAAGGTAGTCAAAGGTAACCAAAAAAGGTAGCCAAAGGAAACTCACCGCATCAAAAAGTCCTCATCTAAAGTCCTCATCTAAAGCTCTCATCTAAAGTCCTCATCTAAAGTTCTCATCTAAAAGTTGAAATTTAACAACAAATTCTCAATTAGCCTGGAAATTTTAAACGACTTTTAAACGACATTTAGACAAACTCGAAGCGGCGAACCCTTCGACAAACGGCGATAGCAAAATACCGAGAAGCTAAGGTAATAAATATCTCGTTTAGATCTAGTAGATACCAAAGAATTTAGGAAAAATCCACTCAAAACAAAAGCCGACAAGGAATCACGTTAATCAATGCTCTCTTGACTGTGCACGAGTGGAGAAGAGGCACAATACAAGCAAGTGTCATTCAGGTGAATAGTTAGACGCTAAATAATCCTTAACGTTTAAATCTTTAGGCAAACATCGAAAAAGACTGTGCCGACTGTGCCCAATTTAAAGCCGAGCAATTGCAAGCAAAGGTTTGACCTTTGTTAATCACTTCAACTTTGAACTTGAACTTTTCACCAGCGTAACCCGGCCTAAACTCCTTTACTTTGTTTTTGATTTGCATTTCTCTTTCTAATACAGAATAACCAGAAATAACCCGGACAAACCTTTTTGACTTGATCTTCGCATGCAGATCATGCAGAAGACTAGATCAAAATGCTTTTAGAGACCCAAGGCCTAGGCTTAGGCTTAGATTTTGGTTCTAGGCCGTTTCTGTAAGGCTTGTTCTAGGAGTTGAAAGAAGCAGCTACAGAATAACCAGAAATAACCCGGACAAACCTTTTTGACTTGATCTTCACAGGCAGATCAATGACTAGATCAAAATACTTTTAAAAATCCTAGGTCTAGGCTTAGGCTTAGATTTTGGTTCTAGGCCGTTTCTGTAAGGCTTGTTCTAGGCGTTGAAAGAAGCAGCTCGGTCAAACCCTCTGACGTCACTGCTCTTTTGGCACAAAAAGTTGTATTTAGTCCATGTATCTGTGAAGATCGAGTCAAAAAGGTTTTTCCGGGTTATTTCTTGTCATCCTATATAGTTGATGTTAAAAAAGTGTCTACTGTCTTCTTGGGTTACTGTAACTTCTATTAACTGGTTTCAGGGTTACGGTAGCTGAGCCTTTAAGGTCTACCCGATTATTGACGCTACATTAGCTTATTCTTCTATAGGTTGGAGTCGATGCCGCCGTCGAAGCGGACTCAATCTGGCATTGCTCTCACGTTGAACTTGAGGTCGGCGGTTCACTTTCAATATCAGGTCAAGTCAAACACAAAACCGGGATCTTCAACGTCGATGGAGAGACAACGATAACTTCAGAAGCAATTCTAAGTCATGAGGTATCTAAATACTCATTCATTTCGAAGCTAGAAGATCACAGGTTCTCGCTCGACTCACCACGAAATCTCTGCTCTGTGATGGAATTTGGTCTTCAGGGGACACTCTTGTAATCGAATCTAAAAGTGATATCACATTCAAAGAAAACAGCTATGTTGAAGCTGAAAAGGTGAAAAGTAAGGGGGAAACTTTAAACTCAAAAAAGTTTCAGCTCGAGTCTGCTGTTGATGGATGCTGTTCATTGGATGGGACTTGGCAAATTGGAGCTCTTTGGATGTCGATTGGACAAAATGTGATAACGAGTGTTGATGGAAAAGTGGGATTTGATCATTCTATGAAGATTTCATTATCTAAATAATACTCAGGTTTTTGTGGAAGATTCGGCGACGATCAATGCTCAAAGCTTTCTGAATAGCGGCTTGTGGAATGTGAGCTCGGTGATCGATGTGCAATTGAAAGTCAACTATTCGATAATATTAAATCTTACTAAGATTCTTATTTAGGACTCTTGTCACTGCTTCCATTCGTCACGCATCGAAGTCCATTCTCTGAGAATCGCCTGTGAAAATCATTGTACGATTGGCGGAGCTTGGGTGGCCGAGGCTCTTCACCTTTATGCGAGACATGAATTGGTGACAACTTGCAATGGAAAAGTAAGTGATAGGCTTACTACTGATGATAGTAAGTGATAGGCTTACTACAGTTAATGATAGTAAGTGATAGGCTTACTACTAATGATGATAGCTTACTACTAATGATGATAGCTTACTACTTACTACTAATGATAGCATTCATTTCTTACCCACTTTTTTAGGTAACACTTTATGAAGGCCTTTTGACTTGCGGATCGTTTCGCAATGACGCACTATGGCAAGTGGAAAAGTGGATGAGGCTCACCACCGGCTCAATCGAACAATCAGATGATGGGACACTTTTCGTAAAAGAGAGATTCGATCTCAATGTTCACTCGGAATCGAAAAATTTGAATGGAAAGATTATCACAAGTCATGCGGCTTTCAAGTAAATATAAGTAAATCTTTTTTAAATGTTAATATAAACTTTAGATTTCTCAAAACTTTGTCCTCCAATGCGTTTATACGAGTCAATGAGATTGAGATTAATTTGCCATACATGAACGAGTCGTGTTTCAACTTTTCCGGTCAAATGGATATCTTGGCTGGATCGTTAACGTTAAAGGTGAGATTTACCAAATAGATTTGAGTATCTCAATATAAATGGTAGGCCGTCAGGATAATTTTCTAGAATTCCTAATAAGGCAAATACCCCAGTTCGCCAACCTGACCGCCGTGAATTATCTTTTCTTTATTAATTGAAATATAGAAGGAACAATGAAAAGCAACAAAATATATCCATATTAGTTTTGTTAAAAATGAAAAGTAGAGGGGAGGAAGGGAGAGGACTCGAACCCGAGGAAAGAACGCAGAGCTCGCGTTGCAGACAAGCACCTTATCCGATAGGCCACCATGCTCAGCCGACGAGCGCGAAAAGAGCGTTTTAAATGAGATTTTGATAATATCTTGCGTTTGCGCGGTATTTTGATCAGCTTAGTCGGTTTGGTAGCTTCTCCTTGGGCGTCTGGCGATCGGCGATGGCAAGCTGGGGTATTTCCCCTTGTCAGTGAATAGTGAAGTGAATTTTCTGGAGTTCAAGAAAGACAACTTTAAAGCAAAGCTAAAGGAACCTTAAAACGAAAGAAAGCAAACAAATTTCCAGGGCAATTCGAACCTGGAACCCCGTCAGCCACTCACCGCGCACCCAAAAGCAGCCGTCATTTTGAGCGGTAAACTCAACGCCACCGCGATCATCGCCCCATTCCTGGCCATCGAGTTGACATCAACGGCTTTCGTTCGTCTATTCGGACTCAAATCGAACACTCCCGACATCGATTTCAACGTTCTGATATCCGCTGGCGCTCTGATCACTCAAAAAGACTCCTCTTTACTGTCAATGGGCGACAATGAGATCTCCGAGGGTATTATTTGTGCGACAACATGGATCCACGCTGGACAAGTGCGCTTTCAAACAAATTCCGTGAAAATTCACACCGGATCGCTAAAGTATACGGGAAGATTGACAAGTGCTGCTGATAAACAAAATCATGTCACTGATTTACATATGATTGTTGATGAGTTGCTGCTGAATGAGGGAATCATCTCAGCACATCGGCTACAAATCTCGGGCGATGGAATTTTGGAGAATCGCAATCGAATCTTTGCTGTGGATGAGATGAACATTCGACTATCGAATTTCAACAATGATCAAGGATTGATGGAGAGTAAAAATGCGATGAAATTGTTGGCGGTGAGCAAAGAGTGGACAAGAGTGGCTGGGAATATAAAGGTGAGTTTTTGATAAGCAAAATTTCCTTAGTACGCAATGCTATAGAACGAATCCTTGCACGAAATTTCTATTCAGGCGAAGAGCTCCTTCGATGTGTGTGCTCAAAGATTGAATCTCGCCTTGCAAAACGTTCAAAACCTTTGCAAAGAGAAACACCTCGAATTCTCAGCCAAAGAAGAACTGATGATCTCGTCAAATGTCATTGATTCGGAAAAGAAATTGAAAGTGGCTTGTTCAGCGAAAAACAAAATCATCATCGATGCTTGTATGGAAATTGAGCAGTTAGAGGTGAATTAGAAAAAAAACAGGGTAGGCTAGTTACCGCAATTGTTTTTTTGCGCAACTGGGCCATTTGCGCAACAGGGCCATTTGCGCAACTGGGCCATTTGCGCAACTCGCCATAACTTTCTTCTAAGTCGGCCAATCTTTATGATGTTGGTTTCATTTTGTAGATCTCAATAAGTGCCACAAAATGACACCACAAATCATAAAGATTGGTCCACTTAGAAGAAAGTTATGGCGAGTTGCGCAAAAACAAATCGCGGAAACTAGCCTACCCCAAAGAAACTTCAAGTAATCGATATTTTTCAGATTCTACTCGGCGACAATTTTCCCTTTATTCCCACCGAAGAACCCCATCAATTCTCGATCTTGAACTCAGCCACAATTGACACGAAAACCGTATTTATCAATGGAAATTCCCCATTGATCATCTTGTCGCTTGACGGGGTTCTGAAGGTTTGAATCTACTTTTTTCTCAAAAATTTCCCATTGACAATCGAACTTTGAGCTCAAATATCTTGGTGTTGAGTTGTTCAATTGAAATATTCTTTGTATCATTGAATGCGTGAAGTTTTTCTCTGTCGATTGGTACAAAAATATTGAAATTGAACAGCCCAACACCAAGAGATTTGAGCTCAAAGTTGGATTGTCAATGGCATCAAATGCCCCACAAACCTTTTGAAAGCAGATTCAAGATAAGAGCTTTTAGTGCCAAAAACTCGAAGTCTCTCGGCAAGTGCGCACTGTTTTGATCACTGGGAAAGGCTCGTTGGAGTGTGCCCAGTTACAAGTTGATGGAGAGGCTCTTTGTGTGGATTTGTATCAAACTTTGACCGCGACAGAGGTGAGCATTTGAGCTCAAACTAATCTAATACTTTCCTTCTAAAGTTGTGCTAGCTAGATTGGATTGAGTGGATACTTGGATTTAAGTTAAAAAAAAAAAGAAATGAGGGCTCTTGGATAGTTTAGGAGACTTTTGAATGGCTAGTCAAGCTCTAAATGTTTAAAACCTACTATAGAGACAGCATATCCGTCTACATTTGATTTATTTTAAAAGAACACTTTTCAAGCTTTCAAATGAGATCAAATCGAGCCAGATTTTATCGATGAGTCTCGAGAAAATCGAATGGCTACAAGTCGTTGATTTTACCTTTGACTTTCGGGATTTATCGATCCAATTTAGTTCTATTTGATCTCATTTGAAAGCCTAAAATGTGTTCTTTTAAAATAAATTAAATATAGACGAATATATTGTCTCTGTAGTAAGTTATAAACATTTAAAGCTTGATTCAAACATTTAGAGCTTGACTCAAAAAGTTGCCTAAACTCTTAAAAGTTCCCTAAGCTATCCAAGAGTTGATTTAAGCCTTTAAAAGCTACCCAAAAGTCGATATAAGCCTTTAAGAATCACTTTCAGATCTTGTGCCCGCAAATCGAGGTGAAAAAGAAGTCGATCGTGCGACTCTCGCCTCCACCCGGTGCAACGACTCGAATGCTCACCGATCGCCTTCTCATCGCCGGCACAATGTTCGTCGATCAGCGACTTTATCTGACATCGATTTCTCAAAATCCTCTCCAAATCACCGGCTCAATCATTGGAACATCAACGGAAAGTGAGATCACAATTGAATCAGATCAAATGATTCTCAATGGAGAGCTCTCGAATCTCGCCTTTTTGGAGATCTACGTGAAAAATGCGATCAAAACCGATGACGCTTTGACTCTTCAGAATATAAAAAACCTAGCAATCGAAGCTGGACAAGCAAATTTACACTTAAAAGTGGAAAATTGTAAATCGGTGACAATAAACGGAGATCAATTGAACTTGAAAGGGTTCATAAAAGGGATTGAGAACGCAAAGGTCAACTTCTTTGCCGCTTCAATTACCCAATCGATGGAGATCACGAATTTGGATTCGTTTGAAATTCAAGCGAAAAGACAAGTGACACTTGAGGGAAAGATTAGCAAATGTAAATCGGTGAACATTGACGCGAAATGGATCACGAATTCGGCGAAGATTGCCGATTGTGAACAAACGGTGGTTAGAGGATGGTGCTCTATTTCGACGGGTTCAATCATGACTGAAGAGTTGACAATCGTTTGTTTATCTGTTTTCATTAACAATGGGGTTCTGCACGCGGAGAATTTGAAGATTATCACTCCATTTTTACTCTCGATGACAGAGAAGAGCGATGTGTTTTCGTCAAATGCTGAGGTGAGTTTTGATGTGTTCTAAAGGTACTGTAAAATCTTGGTCCTGTTTCTTACTACAGAATGTAAGAGTAAAAGTTTTTGGTACTGTAAGCTAGTCATTATAGCCATACTGTAAGCTCTGGCCTTCTATTTAATTCATTAGTTATCCGAAATTCAAATCCCTTTTCAGATTCATACAATCATTTGTGCTTGCAATCACGAAATGGTCACCACCTCAAATGCCGAGCCGTCAACCACGTATTTGTGGATTGATTTTGAGCGAAGCAGCAAGACGGCCACAATCACTGAAGAAGCCTCGAGAGCTTGGAGAGAAACGGCTACAATGTTAAAGGCAAATTTACTTAGAGATCACTTGTTAAAAATACATTCATTCACCCGAATAATATGGTACAAAAATACCCAAGCACAAGCCTTAAGGGAAGACAAATCCATATAAAAAAACCAAAAACCCAGCCAGCGGGATTGAACCCGTGACCTCCCGACTAAGATACAGGGCCATTAGCCAGTCTGCCATGGCGCCGCTAGTCACAAGCTTCAAAGAAACATGTTTAGGACCGAATGAAGTCGAACACTACCGATGTGGACGAGACGATCCTCGCGCTCAAGTACATCGCCGATCTCTCGCATGCAAGAGTGACAATGACGCAAGAAAGTGAACTGTTTTTGGATTTAAATGATGTACGTTTTGAAATTGCGAATCTAAATCCACTTTTTCTAAAATCATTTCCAGATTTCCACTCGCTTCTCCACTCAGCCGATCAGTCTCTTCAGTGTCTCCAAATTCTCAGCGCTCATCGCAAATGCTCGATCGCAAGCAAGAATTGAAAAAGTGAGCTAAGCATTGTGGTGGAAAGATTTTGGAATTTTTAAACCATAAAATTGGTTTTAATTTCAGGTGCAAATCTCGTCGCAGGACAATGCAATGAACGGAAAACGGAAAAACGGAAAACGACGATCAATGGGTTGTACACTTTATGAGGGACTTGTTCAATTCAAGGTAATCTTGCGATATGTTTCACATTTGAACTAACAAATCTCAAAGTTGAGATTTGTTAGTTCAAATCTCAATGTTATGTTAATACTTTCAAATCTAGTCAGCCAAGTACAATCGAGAGTCGCGAAACTCGTCGGAAACCGTTGACGGCGGATATGTCTCACGGGGAAGCAGCGAGGATCTCGAGAGGAAATCGAATAGGTAACATTTTAAATGAACGATATGATAAATGATAATTGTTACAACATATATTCTTATCATATCTTATCATATCTTCTCAGTGTCTCACCACTTCCCTCTCCGAAAGCCGATCGGATTTCCTCAGCTTTTCCACAAAATCACTTGAGTCTTATCGCTTCAACCTTTGACGAATCGCTTTCCTCGATGAAACCAAGTGCCGAGGAATTGAACGACAGTTTTATGACGTGAGTCCTCAAAATTTTAAACTTAATCTTAAAATTGCCTATGTTTTGATCTTCAAGTAGAACGGAAGTCCACGGTCGTGAAGAGCCGGGTATTTCATTCTCTTTCTTTCTTTCTCTTCCCCCTCCTCTTTCTTCTCTAGCAAGAAGATACCAAATAGCTCAGTGGTTAGAGCATGAAGAGCAGGCAGCAAAATTGAGGATGAGGGTTCAATCCCCTCTCTGGAAATCTTTATTTGCCATTCTTCCCAAATTTTCCCCAAACTAGTCTTTTCTTTTCAGCATCGAAGAGGCTGAGCTACTCGAATTCGAGGAACTTGAGCAGGAAATTGAAAATGAAGAGAATGGACATATAAGAACAGATTATATCATTTGTGAAGAAGAAAAGATTCGATTAGCACAATTGAGGGAGAGAAATCTTCTCCCTCCACCACCCCGTCCACAATCAAGAGCTTTCCCATTGGAGAGGACGCCGAGTAGCAATGATCTCGTCATGAAGAGGATCAAGGTATGCCAATCAACTTATAAGCAACAACTTATAAGCCTCTGAAATTTACTCAGCTTAATTAACTTAAAATCTTGAGCAGTGTACTGTTTTAAGTCGTTTTAAAGCTGTTTCAAAATTGTTTACAATTCCAGGTGAAGAGCACTCTCTCTTCACTCGATCTTCGCTCATTTGGCTCTAATTCCTCACTGAATTCAATCGATTTTTGTCAATTTGGCGATCTTGGTTCGCCAATGCAATTCCCGAAATCGACTTTTCAACGAAGCTTTATCCCTCGCGGTCCTTTCAGACATCATCGACCACGAATTCCCGAATCACCATTGAAAAATTGAATTCTTCAATCTTTCTATTAACAAAATCTATTGTACTTTACTAATTCTTCATTTTTTACTTCTCATTTTTATCTTATAAGAATCTCTGGATTTCTTTGACCAAATTTATTGCCTTGTACACACTCGCTCCACTTAACGGGTTTCCTTTGCTGATGTGCAACTGATTTCTTTCCATGACAAGACCTTTATTCCGAATAAAGTGTTTTGATTTTTTTTTAAACTAAAAGAACTCAATTGGTTCATCGGAGATTTTTGCGTGAACGATCGTGCTTTTCCGAGTGATCAAACTCATCCCGCGGCTTTGATCGATGAAACGAAATTGACGAATGTCCATTGGCTCAAAAGCGCCTTTCCTGGAAAAGTTCTATGAGACTTTTAACTCGAATGATTCAATTTGATTCACGGAATTCGTTCCTATTTCTGTTTTCTGATCTAACAATCGGGAATTTTAGTTTTACCTCTTACAGACTTAGACAAAATTACAATTTAGTTGAAGTTCAAAGAGAACAAAATAGTTTTTTATAGTGTCTTTGTAATTGTTGATTGTTTACTTCAAAAAAGACTCACCCTTCCTCATCACTTTCCGCATCTTTTCCCGCATCAATCTCAATTTTTAGCGATCTCCTTTGCTCAATCGTTTGCTGAAGAGCAACTTTTCTCAATCGATCGAGCATCACGTCATCGATTTGCTCAAGCATAAACCCTATAAGAAAATATTGACAAAGAAAAAACTCTTTTAAACCAGGTCTCCTTCGCAGCAACCTTGCATAGTTAACCATATCAGTGATATTTGATGCTTTCATCATCTAAATGTTTGTCAAAATCTAAATGTCTAAATGTTTCCTTTCACTTACCATTTTTCTGCCGACAAAGTGAATCTTGTGAATGTAGAAAGCGACAGATTGCTCGATGCACATCGAAGTGATCGCAATGCCGATAACCTAAGCTTTGAATGAATGTTTGAATGTTGGCAATGAGACATTTTTTTACCATATAAACTCCAGCAGCTGTCATTGAGGCGAAACTCTCTGGTACAATGTCACCAAAACCTGAGATTCGATTTGAATTAACCCAATTACGAGAATTATCAACCAATCGATGTCATTGTAATGAAAGACCAATAAAAAGAGTCGATAATGGTGTGCCCAGCATCACAAATGCTAAAATTTCAATGTAAATGACTATTTGATAAAGATAAAGATAAGTCTACCTCATCATTCCAGTTCCAATCAACAAATATAACACCAATATCCCGAGAATTGCCGTATAGGGTAAAATTGATTCATTTGAGGATTTTTCCTTGGAAAAGCTATTGAAAAAAAACATTGATTAGTTTTTTGTTAACATTGATAAACACAAACTTTTCTAGAAAGATTTTGAAAGCTTCTCCGAGAAACATCCCAATATCAGTAACGGTGATCAACATTAATGGGACACCAAAAAGAGAGAAAACAATTGACAAAATGCGACCCAAACGAGTAGCTGGAGCTATGGTACCGTAACCTATCGTTGTCAGCATGCTAATGCAAAAGAAAATTGAGTTCGGGAAATTCCATTGCTCATCGACGGTGTAGCGTTGTTCCCACCTAGAAGATTTTGTTTTTGAAATCAAATTCTAAACCTCTTATCAAAGTTTAGTTTTACAATTAAACCTTTAAAGCCTAAGCTTTCAGATTCACAGCAAATCTTAGCAAAAACAACACCAATAGAAGCGGATCTTTGCCGATTTATCCAAATGCTCGAGCATCGCTTTCTCGAAAGCGGCAAAGGTCGAGAAATTGTAGTCGAGAATTTGATCGAATCTGAGAACGATTACGAATGATTTGAAATAGATCAATTACTTTCTTTTCTCTTCGACGAAATCGCGTTCCGCTGCCTCACGTCGTCTCAATTCATTCGGTTTCTCGGCCATTAAAAGTAACCATGACGAGAGGAGAATGTAGAAAGTGCAAAAGGAAATCAATGAAAGATGGGGAAGGAGTAGACGGAGTTTCTAGAAAAATTTGGATTATAGTAGAGAATGACTTTCAGAGAGAAAAAGTGGTGGTAGGCTAATTTTCACAATTTTTTTTGCTCAACAGGTTTGCGTGAACCAATCATTATGACTTTGGTTTCATTTTGTAGATCTCAAGAAGTGCAACAAAATGAAACCAAAATCATAGATTGGCCCACTTAGAAGAAAGTTATGGCGAGTTGCGCAAATGACCCAAATGACGCAAAAAATTGCGGAAATTAGCCTACCCGAAAAAGTCTGTTTTTCGAGACCTTTTGCATGTTAAATTTGAATTTATGTCGCAAATTTTAAATGTTAATTTTCGCGCGACGTCGCATTTCAATTGACGTCACTGCCGTTTGGAGGTAGTAGATGGGAGCGCCGCGTCGTCGTTTCTTTTTCATTTTCAAGTATCCATCCCATTTTTTCTCCTCCTATTTTTTTTTTTTTTTTTTTTTTTAAATATCTTTTAAAATATTATAAATTTCTCTTTCTTTTTTTTTTTTTTTTTTTTTTTTTTTTTTTTTTTTTTTTTTTTTTTTTTTTTTTTATTTTTTTTTTTTTTTTTTTTTTTTTTTTTTTTTTTTTTTTTTTTTTTATTTGTTTTGTCAAATTAAATGAAATTAAATGGTATTGTTTTACGCGATAAATTTTGTGTTTCTCTTTGAAATGAGGAAGAAATCTATTTCGATTTGGGAGCCGAGTGGAGAATCCGAAAATTTTCGTAGCTGGACTACAATGAAGGCCAAAACTAATTGTAAGATGGTTTGGAGAGTTAAATGAAAACACCGAAAGAACCAAAATCAAAATCATTTCCTGGACCATTAAAAAACTTTATAATGAATCTGAAAGCTTTTAATTTTATTCGACTTACGGTAACCGGTTAGGAATAGCTAGCTGATGTATTTTCAATGAGAACTTTTATATCAATGAGTTATTCTTGGGAAACTTTTCACAATACCAATATCCCATGTAGATCTATTTCAAAAAAAAGCCGACTCATACTTGTGTCTCTGATTGATTGTTGTTCGATTGAGTGATACTCTTTCCGGCCAACGGAAGCTCTCGACAAACCACTCCCGTTTCGACATGAACGCCCAGTTTTCGCATCATTTTTTTAAAATAAGAAGTATAAATAAAAGCAAACAGCAAATTTGAAATGAAATGGTTTTAGCCTCAACTTTCAAGTCTCAATTTCCAATCTTTTTCACGCAGGCAATTTCCTGTGCTTGATGGAACGAAACACTGAAGCGCAAGGTTTCTTAAGTTGCTTTTCTCGGGTTTTTCGAAACTATTATGACTAAACTTAAACAAAAATAAAATTTACTGTTTGTTTATTATCTAAACAAAAAAACACTATCAATAATTATATTTTTTTGAACATTAGTTTTTCCTGAGCTTCCAGTCAATAAGCGTTAATCATTGCCCGTTCCCCCTTTATCACTCAAGCCCACTCAAAATCAATCGGAAATTTCACAAAAATGCCCAAAATGAGTCAGTCTTTTGCCTTTCCTTTTGCTAACACTTTTCACCTTTTCCTTAAATGTTTGCCATTTGAAGTCTTTCTCTTTCGCTTCTTTGATCCAGGGTTTTCTTATCGCTTCCCCCCCCCTTCCCTTTCCTGTATGAATGCCTTCTTCTTCCTTTTCCCACAACATTCATACAATTTTGAAGCATTCGATTCGATTTTTTTTGTCTTGACCATAACTATGCACCGATTTCTATTAGTGCTTGGATGGATTGGCGTCTCGTCAGCTTTCACTGGATATTCTCCGGAGAGCTTCCCGGACAGGTTTGTTTCAGAGTACCCTGAAAAGTTGAATTAAACTTATCCTTTGTGATCCTTTAGAAAATGAATCATTGCTTTTGTAAAGTGAGACTATCTGGTCTTTTCTGTCTATAGTACGAATGTGGTTGTGCACTGAATTCAAACTAACTAGTAACTAGTCAGTGGTTTAGAATGAAGTAAAGTTTGAGCTTACCAGTGATAGAGATAGATTTAATTACAACTCCAGTGCCAATCTTTGCTACTCTTGTTCATCTGAAAAGTATAAGATAGAATTTCGCAAATCTTCACCCAATCTTTACTGGTCGATTGTAAACTGTATCATGATCAATATTGATACTGAAAGAGGGGAACTAGCCTGGTCAACGGTGAAAGAGAATACTTGGATACAGACATACAAATACTATCATTCTAAAGGATTAAGCCTGAATTACTAGCGACTTTAGTATGACTCAACAGCTCCTCTGCAATCAGGACACTCCAACCCTTCTCTGTGACCCGACAAGTCAACTGGCGCAAGGAAAAAATATCACCGAAAATTGTGAGTGTTCACTGATTTAGTAGTCACTAAAGATTTTAGATCAACGAATCAATCAAAAGCTTGCTGCTCTTCGGTACAATACCACTTGCAAGTAAGTGACAACAAAGCTAACCAAGGATTCTCAAAGTCCATGGTAGATTGAAATTTGCAGATGTGGTCCCACTGACTCGAATCTCGGCAAGTGTGACAGCATCGGCGCATGGGGATTCACTGCATCGGTGGCCATTCTCGACAGCATGATCTTGGACGTAAATCAACAGTTCGTTTTTGAAATAGATAGTTAACAAAATTCCATAATACTCCGTCATTTCGAATGTTTATATTATAATGAAATTATTTATGAGATATTAACAAAGTGAAATCCAAAATAAGTATTATTTTTATTTAGCGGGAGAGACGACGTGTTGCGAGCAATCGAAGAGTTTGCTCATCGCCTCCGTCGACGTTTCCCACGCGGAAATTGTGATGACGATGTCTACATTGTGCTTTCTGTTAAAGATGATGCGGTTAGTAATCAAGATTTCTATCTAATTCTCTATCTAAAGCCTTTAAAACACTTTTGTATCAATAACAATTACAGATTTGGACCTCGGCAGGAAAAGTGGCTGAACGGTATTTGACGCCTGAATTGGTTAACACTATCACGATCACTGCTGGTAAGAAAATTGAGAAAATTCTAAATTCTTAACAATTTAGAGCAATACTTCAAGAAAAAGCAATACACGGACGGTTTGGTTTACATGATCGAGGAGTATAACAAGGTTTTCAATGAAGAGAAAGTGGAGACTGTGGAAAGCACTGGATGGTGAGGAATACTGACTGACTAGCAAGTCATTAAAGCACTGTAAAGTATTTACATTATGTTGAACATTTAGCTAACAAGACTGAATATTCATTGAGTTGTAAGCAAGTTTGTAAGCTACTTCAAAGTACTTTTATTTGAGCATACTGTACTGACAATGAGTATCGGCCTTTGTTGTGTTTGTATCATACTATAAGCCGTCTGCCCAAAAAGACTGAAGAAATTGCATCAATCAATCATTTTTTCAATTTTCAATGAAGTTTCTCGATGACTGACAGCTCTGACAGCTTGACAGATCTGATAAATTAGCTGAAATCAGATCAACAAACCAATTGCTCAAGCTTAAACTATTGTCTTAGCTAAATAATACTATCAAAAAACATTTACACTCAATTTCCAGGGATTGGCCGATTCCAAAATGGGTAGTAATCGTGCTCGGTGTGATCGTCGGTTTGGTGATCATCGGTCTGTTAGCATGTGCTATCTATTGCTTGGCGAAGTGTTGCTGTTTGAAAGATCGTCGCGGAAACTACTCGACTGTGAATCGTGGAAACAATCCGAGACCGGCACACTTGTAAATGATAATGTAATTTGTTGAAAAAAAAAGAACTGCCATACTTTTATATTCAATTTTAAAACTTTTTTTACACTCGGGTGATCTCATAAAATTTGAATCTGTGACAAATTTGAATAAAATTTTTCCGAATTGATTACTACAAATGAAATGACAATAATTTTTACTCGTTAAAGAAAGCCTTCACTCGCTTGTGGAAAAAAAAAGTTGAGTTTTAGTTTTGCGAAGTTTTGCAAGCTTTAATGCTTTGTTTTCTTGCTACAAGAAAACTAATTCATTTTGCCAGAAATGCTGCGTTTCATTCGTTGAGCTCAAAGTGCATCTAACACCTAGTCGATCAGACAGTGTCATGTTACAAAGCTTCGTAAATTGAAAAACAGATGCAATCATGCACAAAGCTCACAGCTGTTAGCTATCGTGGACCATAGATATTGATTTCTAGACTTGTTGAGTTCTAGACTTGTTGATTTCTAGACTTCTGGACTCTTTTGAGATTTCCTTAAAAACATTGAAATTCTCAGGAAATATTCGAAAATTTTCCTTTAATTGCTGCTTTTTGATCAAAAATTGTTTTTTTTTTTGCTTTATTTTCCCCGCTAATCCATTCGATTTATTTACCCGATCACCCTGATCCCAACAGCAATATCGACTTTACGAGAAATCCCTTTCTTTTTATGATCAGCAAAATTGTTTCTCGCAATTTCTTGAGTATTTCCCAAATTACCTTCGCAAAACATGTTCAATTTTAGTACTCTTTAAAAGGACAATTCTCTTCATTTCTTCACTACGGCTGACCTTTTATCAAAGTTGGAAATAATTTGAAATTCGCTACCTTTATTCTATTCGATCGATTTCACGATGAGTTTCGAAATGAATACAAGTAAGTTCTTGAAGTTTTTTTAAAGTTTTTTGTATAAATGCTAAAATTTGTGAGTTTTTCCTTTCTCAAGGTCTTTGCTCTGAAAAAGCGTATCCTTGTCTTGAACTTTTAAAAGATCAAAAAAAGCTTATCCACGTTTAATCAAAGCTTATCCACGTTTTGAAGTTGTTAAAAGTTTCAAGGGTCATGAATGTTCGTTTGGATCTTTTGAAACCGAAAAAAAATCAGAATGAAAGCTAATAAAAATCTGAATAAACTTTATTAAGAACCGTAATTCACTGGCTATTGAAATCTACCGTAATCTCCAGTTTTATCTAATCATTTTATAGCTAGGCTTGGTTTAAATCTATAAGGGCTGACGAAAGATAGAAACTGCATAGTCTGCGTAAACACTAAAGGCAGATTTACGGTAGTTTTCGAAAGTTGAAAGAAAACCCCTTAAGGAACACATTCGATTTTCGACCCTTTACCTTTTCTTGGGCTTTTCATCCCTTTCTCTTGCTGTTTTCCATCATTTCCTATATTTTTTCGGGGGTGAGTGCATCGATTCATTTCTCCACATCCTCTTTTCTTTTTATGCTTTTCCATCTTTCCCCCTTTTCCTATGTTTTTTCCATTTCCCCCTTCCTTGTCCATTTCCTCTCTTTTTCCTTTTTCAATTCATTGAAAAGCTTTTTTCTCCTAAAACCTTCCCGCAATTTTTCTCTAACAAATTCTTTACCTTTTAAGCATTAGAAAGTTTGAAGAACTAAAGCCTCACGCGATCTTTTTTGAATTTTTTTGTTGTGGATTTTTTCGCCAATTTTTACGTCATTTCCCCTGGTCTTTCTTTTTTATATGTTTCATCACTTTTATGAAATTTGCTAATAGTTTGGGGAAGAATTGTTGTGCAATGTACTGGAAATTGCAAAAATAGACAAAGTGTTCATTTTAAGTCTAGATAAAACTAAAAACTGCTGACTCCTGGAATCGATTTTGGTCAGAGTCACAATCCTAATAACTTTCACGTTCAGCTTTTGTCTGTCTTAGAAAGCGATAATCAAAATGTTAATTTGAGAAAAATCTCCAAACTTTGGTCAAAAGTTCTTGATTTTCTTCTTTAGTATCTGAAAGTCACTCCCATGCTAGTGACTCTCTTCTCAAACAGTCTCCACTTCACATTTCCCATGTCTTTTTCAATGCCTCTGGGCTAAAGTCTATGCTCTTTATGACAGTAGACTTCCCAAGAAATGTGTGGCTTTGTAAAGTAAAAGAGATATTTATGATCCATTGTAATTTGTCCCCAATAGCTTAAGTCTGTCTATCCGTTTGATAACTCAAAAATTCAAAATTTTCGCCAACGCAACCACTTGAATGGTCTGAAAAGGTAAAAAGAAGATTTAAAATCGACTTTGAAATTGAAAGAGTTTAACAAAAATCCTATCAAATGTCACGTGGAAAAGGAGCCAAGTTTTTGTTTAGAACTATTCCAAACTCTTTCAGCAATAAAACTCCCATGGAACGTGTAAATAAATAACTCTTTTTTGACTAAAAATTGTACGTTCTGATTTTCTCGATATTTCTTCATAATCTTTTGAAAAAGAACGATAGATTGTGATGTAAAGATACGAATAGCAAAATAGAACTAAAACTTACAAAAGACTTTTTTTGCAAAGATTAAAACAATAATGATCAATCGATCATTGCCGAGATTTGTGAAGTAAGAATAAGTCTACATACAGTGAAGTAAGAATAAGTCTACATATATACATACAGTCGACTCTCGATATAACGTTTCTGTCGGGACCGCGAAATGAAATCGTTATATCGAAAAATCGTTATATAGAAGTAAAAAAAACCAAGGCGTTTAATCGAAATCATTAAATCGAGTTACAATAAACCGTTTTCAACAAAAACGGACATAACAAAACGGCTAATTCCTCTGTTTAGCGAAAAAAACTGTTTATTTTTAACCAAAGAGTTCTCATAAAAAAAAAGGTTATCAAGAACAGTTAAGGCAGCAAAAAATTTTGCATAGGATTTTTTTCTTGTATCGTTTTTGAACTTTTGAGCAAAATTGATAAGTTTTGCGCCGTGGAATCGTTTCCTCTGGTTCCACCAACTCCTCATTTTCACTTTCTTGACTCCTTGGAGTGTTTTATGGGATCAACGATTTCGGACAATGTTCGAACGTTTGTAGTTGAAGTAGTATCATCAGCAAGGATATAATCAAGTGCATTCGTGCTATGAACAACATCCAATTTTTGGTCACAAAATCGTTGTATCAAATCAAAAGTTAGTGCAACAGCGATTAAAAAATTGTTATACTCGGAAAATCGTTAGATCGAGAGTCGACTTAAGGTATTTTGTTAAGCACTTGGTCGGGACCGTAAGTAGGAGTCGTTATATCGAGCAAATCTTTATATCGAGCAAATCGTTATATCGAACAAATCGTTATATCAAGCAAATCGTTATATCAAGCAAATCGTTATATCGAGAGTCGACTGTATTTGCGAGTATACAGAGACAAATTTTGTGTTTCATTCAACTTTCGAATTCAATTTACTGTACCCGGGAAGTTGGTATCGTAGCCATACCGATTAATGTAACCAAATTCTATAAAAGAGCCGATCTATCGTAAGCTTACGGTAGCTGGGGCATGCTTTAAATCATCGATCCCAGTTCAGAAAAGGTCCCCAAGTCTATTTTTCAACTACACCAAGTAAGTTCTACGTTGATTCGCTTCATTTTCCCAGCTCTTGCTATTAGAAATCTTTTCGGCTCGCCATGCTATGCTTGCATCAAATCACTCCCTTCATTCTTTCATCAAACATTTTACCGAAGTTCGATCAAAACTTATAATTGCGTACTGCCTAAAACATTTCATCAATTTGATCAACAAATTTTGCCCACTGAAACATCAAAAAACGCCTTTCTCCCATAGCTTTGTTTGCTTTTTCAGTGGCGTTTGGCGATTTTTTTGAAGAGGCCACGGGGAAAACTCTCGTTTCTCTAAATCTCCGCCGCTTATCGGGCTTTTGTGGATACTTTAGTTCTTACAGCTTATCTTTTCCCACTCTCACAAGTTGCCTCAATTGAATATCTTGAAAGAGTGTCCCTTTTTCTTCGTCATCATAAGCTCCGCCCACTTTTTTCCGTGGGAACTCTTGAACTCCGCTGCAAACATCGGATCGCTAGGATCGGAAAAGAGACGCAACTCTAGCTACTGCTTTGTCGATTCTCTAACAAAGCTAAAAATTACTGTGCTATTCCTAAACAAGCTCTGATATTTGACCCCTACAATGTACCTCTATGGTGGAGTTGGTAAAACGAGATTTGATGAAGATTCCCACCATTCCCACCTCCGGCCACTCACTCCAAATCTATTCCATGATTACCCAACCCCGTCACATTCCGGTGATCACTCGCCACAATCGGAGAGTTTCGGGGAATTCGAGCGGCGAACCGTCGAAAATCGTCTTGAACGGGCGATCTCTTTACCCGAAACGCCAACCAATCACAGTTCTGGTAAGAGACTGACGTTTTGGTTCATTTTTGCAACTTGTCGTTGTTTCGTTTGCTCAGTAGCTCTTGATAATTTTTCAAATTCGTAAACGGCTTTTAGTAGTGCACTTGGAAAGTCCCCTTGAACTTTTATCTCACGGTTGACTATTGTCAAAAAGTTAACCCATTTGTGGCCTTTCCCACTTTAAGATTGATTTTTAAAATACAAAACTTCCACCTCGTTGAGGCTCTACTGAAATTTGGAGCAAATCTTTTTCGCTTTTATTTCGCCCTTTCCCTTAGGTACCTTTATTTTAACTTTTTCTCTCTTTTTCTAGTTTTCAAACGAAAACCGCTTAGCAACCTATGTATATTGTTTTTTCTAGAGATGGTGCTGCCGACGCCGCCAATTCGGGTGCAACGCGAATTCAGCCATGATACCCCGGCCACTCCACCAACATCGCCCACCGCCGCAAACCCGCAACAACTATCGACCGAATCACCGAATCGCAGAAGCTTGTGATTTAGTTTTATGTTCTAGCCCAAATGCTTTTACAAAGTTTTCTGGAGTCACGATTTTTTTCCTCAAAACCAGTTTTTCTAGGGTAGTTTTATGCCTAGATTCCGAAAAACATAAAGAGAACTTGGGAAAAGGTGTTTTAAGCCAAGTTTCGAGGCTCCAAAGTGCGCGCTTATACAGTGTGATGAGCGGGATACACGTAGGGAAAAGGTCTAAAAATGGTCTCTCAAAACATTTTTTAAAGCCAAAAACACTTCTTCTGGCATTAATTTAACCTACTTTTATTGATTAGAAACCTAATTTAACCTATTAATTTATGTTTCTAATCAAATTAAAGCAAAATTTTGAAAAAACATTCTTTTTCAATTATTTTTCTTCAAAACTACTTTTTCTGGAGTGCTTTTATGCGTAGATTCTGACAACGAGAGCTTGGGAAAAGGTGTTTTAAGCTTTCGAGTTTCGTGGCTTCAAGGTGCGCGTTCAGAGGGATACACATAGGGAAAAGGTCTAAAAATGATTTCAAAACATTTTTGAAGCCAAAAACACTTCTTCTGGCATAATTTAATCTAATGACTACGTTTATGATCAAATTGGAACAAAATAGTTTTTTTTTCCAAATTTCGACCCCACATGAGTCAAAATCCCAAAAAAAAATATTTTTCCGATTTGTTTTGCCTCTACCAGTCAATTTAAGTTGGAAAATGAATATTTAGTGATTAAAAATGGTTTTGGCTCTAGTTTTGACCTTGAAAACTCCCCCAATAGTCGATAGCTTGGGCTCCATATAGTGAAGTACATTATAGAAGCGCGCACTTTGAAGCCCCGAAACTTGGCTTAAAACGCATTTTCCGGAGCTCTCGTTGTCTTTTTTGGAATCTACGCAGAAAACTACCCGAGAAAAAGTGGTTTTGAAGAAAAGTGGCGCCCCAACTGCCGACACCTCTAGTGAAACGATAAAGTAGTATACCAACATCGCGCACTAGTCAATTTTTTAATCAAAAAACCTGTTTGGCGTTAGAAAAGTTAACTTTTTATTTACTTGAGTCGAACTTTTTTTGACCGAGATCAACCCTGTTTCAAATTGCAACCTTCCTGCTTCTAATCAGTCCAAAATGTGTGACACGCTTGAAAAAGCCAATAAAAACCCAGACACCCTTTCTTTGAACTTGGAATCACGCTTCTTCTCTGACATTTACCTCTGCGCTAAAGTGATAAAAATCACACCTAAATTCCACAAATGGCTCTATAACCAAACACATTGTACGACTTGGTGTCAGTCAGCTGACGTGCAGAGTTTTCGCCTAAACTATTGTCAAATTTTGTTCCTATTCTATCGCCAAAGAAATGTCACGTTTACTAAACAAAATCAACAACAAAAAGAGGTTCTGTAGGGTGTTATTTTGCTTTTATGAAATCTAATAGGGTATGAAAATTTTTCGTTTTAGAAAGCACCGTCCGATCGATGAGTCGCACACGCCAAAGAATCTCACTGTACTCACCGGATCGTACCGAAAAGTACTCTCGGCGACGGTGAGTTTAACTAGTTTTAGTTTAGCTGCTAAAAATGTAGGTACTCTGAGTTCGTGTTACCAAATCAGGTCTACTGTGAAATTTTTTGATTATATTGGATCCAAGCAACATTCGATTTAACCTTTGAGGTTTTTTTTAAATTTCGGGAGCTTTCGTCGAAAGATTTCAACAACATCTGCAACCTTTTGGCAAAAAAGCCAAGAGTGGTTGACTTTGTTTTGATTTTCATTCCCTCTTCTTTCCGGTCAAAGGTGAACAGGCCAAGGATTGAAACAGGGGCAGTTAACCCTGGGGAAACGGGGTGATTTTCGGGATTTTCATTTCGGGGTTTCGTCAAAAAAAGGTGCCATGTGCTGGGTGCTCTCACTCTGACGCCTCTCCCACCTTGATCTCTTATCCTTTTCCTCATTCACTCGGTTCATTCACCAAATCGCTTTCTCACTGAGTTCGAGCAGATAAAAAGCAAGGCGATCGAAGAGCCCTTGGATCACTTTTCATCTACTCACAGTTCTTTTTCCTCCTTTCCACACCTTTGTCAAACTCCACGTGACTCAGAAATTTTCACTTTTGTACCGTAGATAAAAAAACTTAAGCAGAAAGCTTTAACAAGACTACACTGTACTCAACTTTGAGTTCTTATTTTGATACAATCCAACTTGAACTTCACCGTTAAAATCCCATCTAGGCCTTATAAACCTACGGGTCACACCACTGGCTATAAAAATGGTCTACACGAAGTGGGAGTATTATAAGGTTCTAGCAATTACCTCAAATTTTTGTAATACTTTCCAATTTTAGGAACTCGCCCAAGAGCTGCAGGACTACAAGAGTGGATTAGCCGCCAAAGTGGGCTCTGTGCCGGCAAATCATTTGCCCGAGGGTAAAGTGCTTGTCTTATACACGGGTGGTACAATCGGAATGAAGAGTGTAAATGGAGGTGAGTGCGGAATATTTGATAACATATAAACTATTAATGACAATTTGTTAGTGTTAAACTTTAAAATACTCATCATACCCTAAAAGTGTCACTTTTGTAATTTCCAAAAAACTTGAACTCAACCTTGAAACGTTGAACTTAAGGAGTTTTTAGTATGGGGTTTGGCTATTTTACTGCGTTGTTGGGATCTCACTTTTTAAACAACAACTTTTTCACCATCTCACAGGGACTTTACGGGTTCGGGAAAACCCAAAACCAATGACCTCATTTGATCTTTGAAAAAAGAAAACAGCAATGGAAAATGAATAAATTTTAAAGGTAAAAGCGTTTGTAATATACTTTGTTTTTAGTCTACTCACCGGTGCCCGGATATTTACCCGAAGTTCTACGGACGATTCCACCGCTGAATGATCGGGAGGTACACAAAATTTTATCTTGTTATCGATAACTAACAACTTTCTTTTCAGTATGTGGAGAAAGAATACGGTCTTGTTGGACCGAATTCGATTCAGCCGTACGCTCTGCCACCAGTGAAACACATGAAGAAACGGGTTGTGTATTGGGTGAGTTTTTGAAAGGCAAACTAATATTCTTATTTTCATAACTAATCTTGTTTAATTTTAGATAGTCGAATACGATCCATTGCTGGACAGTTGTGATATGACGTTCGATGACTGGATACGCATTGCGACTGATATAAAAAAAGTTTGTTTGACTTGCATTTTGCTTTCATCAAATATACTTAGGCTTATCATCACTACGACGGCTTTGTTGTGCTACACGGCACCGACACTCTCGCTTACACAAGTTCGGCACTGTCGTTTATGATGGAGAACTTGGGAAAACCCGTGATCATTACTGGATCTCAAGTAAGTTTTAACTAAATTAACTTTAATTTTTTTTAAAATTGTTAATTAGATTCCCGTAGCTGAAGTGAGGTCTGATGGAATGGATAATTTGGTCGGATCATTGATTATTGCCGGAAATTTCGACATCCCCGAAGTGAGTAGCTTTATAAACTTTTCAAGATCACCATCAGTTGTTTGTATTTAGGTCGCTGTGGTCTTCAACAACAAGCTGATGCGCGGGAATCGCACGATGAAACTTGACAATTCCGCGCTTGACGCCTTTGTTTGCCCAAACATGCACCCTTTGGCCGAGATGAACATTAACATCAAAGGTAGGGAAAAACGATCCAAGTTGTATCAGTTCAGTTTTTAATTTTTTTTATTTAGTGTACTATGAGGCAATCTTCCGATCCGGTTCAATTGCCCCGTTTAATGTGCACGAGGATTTGTGTCGTGATGTTGGAATGCTACGTCTTTTTCCATCTATGAGTATACAAACGGTGAGTCTTATCAAGTAATAAATTTGATGAATTTCTATGGTCATTTTACAGGTACGCGCCTTTTTGGCCGAACCCATCAAAGGAGTTGTTCTGCAAACGTTTGGCTCCGGAAACATGCCGTCAAAGCGAACGGACATCATTGAAGCATTAAAAGTTTGTTTTTACGTTAGCTTTTTTATAACGTTTGTTTAGAGCGCGGTTGCTCGAGGAGTTCTCATCGTGAATTGCACCCAATGCATCAAAGGACAAGTCGATGTGCACTATGAGACCGGAAAAGTAATAAATTTGTGAGTGCATCATCTATCTCCATTTTAGATTCTTTACGATATTGGTGTAATTCCGGGATCCGACATGACTTCCGAAGCAGCAATGACAAAATTATGCTACATCATCGGCAAAGATGACTGGGACCATCAGACAAAGATGAAGGCGTGTCACTTTTTTAAGAATTAAACATCTTGAGAGCATTTAGATGCTTCAAACGAACCTCCGAGGAGAGCTCACCATCACCCAACAAGAATTGAAGCAAAATGAAATTAGTGAGACTTTTGTAATTTTGTTTTTGCTAACTTTTTATTTTAGTTACGCACATTGCTCGTTACTTGCGACTTTCGTCTATCCAGGAAATTCAAGTTGTGAGGAACTCCTTGCTCCCGCCACTCATTTGCCAAGCTGCAAAGGTAGGTTTTACTGTTCTGAAACGGTACTTGCGATGAACTCTTAAATTTACATCTTAATCTATCTTCTTTACATCTTAAAGGAAGGAAATGTTGAAACACTCGAAACTCTTCGCGAATCCGGCGGCCACTTTTCGTACCAAGTATGTTGTTGACTTCGAGAGCTTTAATTACCTATTCCCACTTAGGATTATGATGGACGCACACCGCTACACGTTGCCGCTTCTTGGGGACAAAAAGATGCTGTTGAATATTTGCTCAAGCATGGAGCTAATGTACATGTGAAGTTGGTTTTTATTTTTTCGATATTCAATTCATCCATGTTTTTCATATTTCTGTTTAGAGATCGTTGGAACTGCAATGCTATCCTGTGCGCGATTCGGGCTCGCAACATCGATGTGGTTCGAGTGATTAAAGAGGCTGGCGGGAGAATTGATGGGAATCCAAAAGAAACAGGTTACTTTTTGTGCTAAATTTTAAGCCCGTTAAAATATAGTTTAATATCCAGCTCACAACAGTCTTTCGGTGCTCGTTAGCAAATCTACATTATGTCAAAAGCTTTGCAACTATAAATTCCTCATTTTCAGGAATGGAGCTGTGCTTTGCTGCATCACAAGGGGACTTTTCCTTGCTGGAATGTTTTGCGGCCGCTGGCGCAGATTTACGTTCCACCGACTACGATGGGCGAACCGCTTTGCATTTGGTTTGATTCTAAGTGATTTTTTTGACTAACCTTGTTTTAGGCGAGTTCAAATGGTCATCTGGATGTCGTCGAATATCTGCTCGAACGAGGACTCAATGCTCGAAAGAAAGATCATTTCGGGAACACGGCACTCGATGAAGCTACGAAAGGAAAACACGATAAGGTTAGTTTTAGGGAGTATCAGTTTATTTCCAAATTTGATTCACGTAAAGATTGCATTTTACTTGTGCAACTTATTTTCTCGATTTAGGTCGAGACGGTGCTACTTCGTTCCTTGTCGATGAAAAAGTCAACCGGTGAAAACGATGGAATCCTCTTCAAGATTGATCCCTTTCCTAGTCCACCACAAGGATAGCCTTGGCAACAATATCACTTTTGTAAATTTATTTTCTTTGTGTTTCCATGTTTGTATATGAATTTGTCTAGTGCCTCATTCTGTTTTCTCTTCATTTCCCTATTGCCGAATTCGTTTGTGAATTTTGTATATGAGAGTTATTTTTTTTAAGAAATTTCATCTATAATTCGAATTATTTCCGGGTCCTATCCAATTCAAACTTCCCCACTTATCTCTTCTTTGTTACATATTTGTACTTTTGCTAGCATGTACTTTATAAATTGCTGAAAAAATGCAAAAAAGGCATTGATATCATATAAATGAAAATAAAAAAATATATTGAGATCTATAACGATCTTTTCTGAGAGATTTTTTCATGTAGTTCGAATATTTCTGTGTCATTCTGTCTTTCGTTGCCCATGTTCGTCCACTTCTTATCACTTTGTTTTGTATGTATGTATGCCATTTTCCCTTTTGCTTTGTAAGTGGTTGGTCGGCATAGAAAGCTTAGAAAAGAATTAGAAAAAGAATATACCTAACTTTTTGTGCTCTATCTTTTATCTATTGACACCAAGAAAGGTTTCCTTAGTTAAAGTATCTAAACCGTTGAGCCGTCGCCCTTTTTGACTACCGACTTCACGCTCCCAAAAAAATCCGGACATAAAGCATTTTAAACCCGTTTTAATGTTATTTTGCAAAAAAATAATTCGCCTTTCCAACGAAAAAAAATTGGTGCATTTTTTTTGGTTTTAAACGGAACTACGAAAAGACTTTCTGGACAGCCTAATAGAATACGGTACAAAGGCATACGTTTGCTAGGTATACGGCAGCACAAGCATCACGCTGTTAGAATTTATCTGAAAATTCCTGGACTCTTCCCAGCCTATCAACCCGAAAAACATCCTTGCACACCCTGCGAATCGAACATTTTTCCCACCTTCTGTTTTCCTACCTATTTTTCTTCCTTTTCTTATTTAATTTTTAGAGCAATTCCTCGTTCCGGAAGCACTTTTTTTCGCGAATTTTTGAAGTAACTCGGTGAAAGAACAAAGTTTTTGCTGGCGAACCAACAAGTTTTTGAATCGGAGAAAACATTTGATTTCTCTTGAATTTCAATGAAAACTTTTGTCATCTAGCATCTTTTAGCTCTTTTAACCAGAGAGGCAAGATTACGGTAGGGTTTTTAGTGTTGACACGATCTGATTTTAAGCTATTTTAGACTAACAAGAGACTTGATCTCAACTCAGATTTTAACTAACTGCTTTCTAGACTTGGATTTTATTGTTTGTAACGGATAATCCGATGGGGAATTTTGGCGATTGAAGCCGGATGATTTCCATCGGCTTTAAACAGGGGTGATCTCATGGGAAAACGAGAAAGAGAACAAATGCGATAATCCAATCTGAAGAAGATTACTGAAAACTTGGGAATTCAGTGGGAACTTGCCCTTTTTTTTGCTGTAAATAACTTTTCCCTTTCTTTTCCGGTGTCACTCGCTTCAGAAGCTTTTCGAATAAACAATGTTGTGGGAAAAAGAAGAGATTAGTGTTGTGCATCGATTTTTTTAAATGCTTATTACTTTTTTGGAGTTGGCGGGGATTAATTCAGATGCTCCGACAATGATTTTGATTTTCTTTCCTGAAAAATCTATTGAAAGCTAAAGGATTTGTTTGTTTTATTTTATGAGTTTATGAGACAAGTTTTTCTTTGCTTTTTGTTCATTCATTTACCCACTCTTGGTTCTAGTGAAGTGAGCAAAAATGGGTGACTTTTTCCCACCCTTTTCCTCCTGTTCTTTTTCCGACTCGAGACGAAATTTGAAACTAAAAAGAAAAAATTCTCTTCTAACGAAAGCCTTGGTTCTTGACTCTTTACCCAAAGATAAACAAATTATTGACACTTTTGAATATTTGCTTTCATCTTTTTTATTGCAAAGAGCCTTTTATCAGGAACTAACTCTGCTTTTTTTTTTGTTGTTTTCTGATGTTTTCACTTCTTTTTCAAGAATTCATTAGCCCGTTCTAGCCCGGAAATTACTTGCTCGAGTCAAATTTTGAGTTCCGGTTCCTCTTCAAAATTGATTAAGAGTGAAATGACTATAATCACTTTAATTCTAAAATGAATCTAAATACTGTAGAGGCTTGATTGGGTAAAAAAAAGTTCAAAATCCTAATAAAGCGGACCACTTCTTTACTTTGAACCATTTTTATATTAATTGGAAACTTTAATATATAGTTCTCGTCAAGAATTCGTGTAATTTGTGCCTTCTTTGCTGAATTTATTGTTGAATACAACCAGTTCGTTTTCGAAAACCCAATATCTGCACAAAAATCTGTGGTCTTTTTTAATAATCGATATTAATGAATCTCCGGACAAGCTCTTCATCTTTAAAAGATTCGAATCATGGAATATTCGTGCATATTCTTTTGTTTACAAATCCCATCTTTTCAAGAAAATTGAAAACCCATTCCAGAAATAGCCACTATTTTCCAGAAAATGTTCTTTGTCCTCTGTTTTTTAAAAGATTTCCAGAGATTTCTCTCTTCCCCCACGCAACATTTACTCTTGCCAAGAATTCGCGTAATTTGTGCCTTCTTTGCTAGTTTTCTGAAATGCCTCTTTTTCTTTAACTTTTTCCTCCATCGAAACTGCTTTTCTCGAATCAAAAAGGGGAAACTCGAGAGAATTTCACTCGATCCCTTTTTTAGGATCGAAAAACGGAAAGCACTAATTGGCCACTCTAGTGGGTCCCCTGATTTCCTCCCATTTATAGATTTTCGTGTAAATTTTTCGATTCCTACCTTGTGGGCCTAAAGCTCTAAGGCTCGGTAAGGAAAGATTAGTGCCAAGAGCTTCAAGAGCTTTAACCCGACTACAGTTTAACGAGTTAACAGAACTCTCGAAAAATTCCCTTCCTAATTGGGTTATTGGATGGGTTAGCGCGGGAGGAAAGTCCCTGGAGGATTCACTTTCTTGAAAAAGCGGAACTTTTTTCTCCCTCATTGCCTCTTGACACTTTTTTTTGTCTTCTTCCATTCATCGACCCACCCACTTGTTTTCTTTACGGGTTTTTCTAACATTTTAGCAATATTCTGGGTTTAGAGTTTAGATTTTTCTTCTTTTTTTGTACACTGTGTTTCAAAATGGAAATACCATCCTTTCTGATGCACTCAATTCGACACTTTTATCGATAAACCAAGATTTTTCCCAGTTACTCATGATTTCACGAGATTTAACCCATCTTCTCCTCTTTGATGGACGTCAGCAATTGCAAAAAGACTCCTTAAATATTCTATCAGGGAAAACCCAGAAATCCTTTCACCAAGTTTTTTTTCCTGGTTGAGAATTTTGATGAAAAACCTTTTAACAACTCATCTTTTGTTTTTGTTTGTTACTGAAAAGACATCAAGAATTCCCCCTTTTTCTTTACCATTGCTAACTTCAAAAAAAACTGACAGACGCAAGTAAATATGTATTTTCATCGTCGCTGAACGCTTGACGAGTCTGATGCTTTTTTTTCCCATTTGGATGAGCTCTAAGAAGGGGCGAATGGGGCACGCGATTTCATTTTGAGTCACTCGACAAGAGTTGGCTCTCCTTTAAAGTTCAAATAAGCGAAAACACAATTTCGATTTAAAGTATTAAGGCCGATGACCTTCAACCAATCCTTTAAGTGCTCAATTAACTTGCGACTGGAGTTTTTTTGTCTAAAACGATTCAAAAGTTTCGAGGAGCTCAGTGATTGTGTTATTGATATGTACTTAATTTGATTGCTGTAATCGTATAGAATTGCTATTTCAGATATGACTATTAGCAATTTATCTAACAAAATAGAAATCGATATCACAATCAATATCAATATCAATATCACAGAAGAATAGAAACAATTGTACATGAGCAATCATGAGCCTGACGAGTTGACGCGTAGAAAAGGCAAAAAGAGAGTTAGTTTCTGTTGTTTGAGAGTTAGAAAACGGTTTGTGAGATCTCTTCCCAACAAATTGCTAATCCAAAAACGATTAGTGTCACTTTAAGGGTTACCAGTCCCGCCAAAAAGCTGGCCTGACCACTAGCTTTTCCCTTTTCCTTCACATAGTTGCCCTTTTTGGTGTTGATCTTCGCTTTTCTTTCCAATCTTCGTTTTCTTTTCTTGAACTTTGCCAAAGATTTAAATTCGATTTACCGCTTTCCCCCCTAAAGGAAAAATCTTTCAACTCGCATATTTTCGACTCGATCTCCTTTTTCTCAATATGAAAACATCTCTGTTCTCAGTGAAGTTGACCACTGGAAATTTTGCTTTTTTGCATAATTGGCTTTCAAAGCTCAAAATAGCTAGAACCTTTCGAAGAAAACATTTTTAGCTGATTGAACTCGATTTTTATAAGTTTTACCTTTAAATCGTGTTGCTACGTCTCTTTTTGAACTCGCCACTTTTCTCCTATCATTCAAATTTGTGCGGCTCCAATTTGTAGCTGAAAGCGGTTTATTATTAAACCTCTTGAGTCTTGATCACTACTTCAAAGAAAGGACGATGTTTTGAGCTCAAAAAAGTCTTTAGATGTTCAATGTTTCAACTTTTTACGTTAAAAACTGCAAGTTTAGCTTTATGCTTTATGCAGAAAAGCCCACCCAACGGGTTGCTTTTTAAGATTTTTCTAAGGCTTTTCTGGCTCGGTGTTTTGAGGCTAACGCATAGTTTGAGCTCTCGAGTTAAAGGGCAACTCAAATCTGCATATTTCAACTCCATGCCTGAAAACATTTAAAGCAAAAAAAAGTTTGGAGCAGACGGGAATCGAACCCCGCACCCTCTTGGGGCGGTCGTTTTGGAGACGGGACGCTAACAAAAGTTATTCTATCAATTAAATGCATAACTTAGTAGGAAAAGGGAAATTCCCGGCAAAAATGTAGATTTTAGCCTTTTGCATCCATAGCGCAGTAGGTAGCGCGACCGTCTCTCGCTCACACAACCGCCTGAAGGTACCCCGTAGGTACCATTCGATCCCCCGTAGATACCCCGA